GACCCTGCAGCACACAAAGGCTTCTGCAGTTTAGCCTGCAGCGCCACCACGTCCCTTTATACACCTCCATACTTTTACCTTAAAAAATATGCCTGGCAGATTTTTCTGCCATGAAAATTTGGGAAGTTCATTTACATATATATTTACACATGCCTGAAGAAGTGATTTTTAAATCACAAAACCTAACGCTGAATCTTTGATTTTAATGGTCTAATAACGGTATCACCTCTTCTGAACTTTTATGTAAGGAACCACACATCTATTTTTTTTACAGAGATGGTGTTTGTACATTATTTATTTAAAATATTTTTACTCCACCTTTCTCCTTAAAAACAATGCAGGCGGGCTGCATACTGAACAGCACAGAAGGCTATTCTAAGCATGCAACCACACACTATACGGGAGGTCCTTGTTACTTGGAGCTGCTACATCTCTAGGAAATCCACCCATTAAAAGTAACACTGACTTTGAGCGAACTATTTTAGAAAATGAAAATGCTTGGTCACAATACAATTAGAAACAGATGGTACACTGCTGTATGTTTAATTCACTATGCTGATTTCATTGGGATATCAATTAAAGGATGAATGTCACACATTCAGCAAAATGATAGCTACATGTTGGCACTGGAGACCTAGAAATGAAGTCTGCATATGAAAGTATCTCAAATTAACTTCTTGCTAACAGTCTTGTACACATTTATCAGGTCCACAAATGAGTTCAAAATACTAGACAGGATTTGACGCTATGGTCAGGATCCAAACCCAAGTCAAACTGCTTTTGCATAAGCATTGAGATGTTCTGGACTCATATTCCCCATAGTAGGCCCATAGCAGATAACGTAAATAGATGAGACTAGTTTGAAAAGAGGGTTAAATTCAGTTTATATACATAGTATGCCATTATAGCCTGTGAATATCAGACTGAACATGTGGCTTATTTCACAAGCCTAGTTTGTGCATCTCAGAACACTTGATTACACTCCATAATGCTTATTAGGACAGAAGGCATTATTACAGTATTCCTGAATTCCAGCAAATTTGCATTGGTGGTTGACCTGAATTTGAAGAACTTATATCCACTATCTTTTACAACTCTCTATTTTAACAAATTACAAGAGCCTTAATTAACTTAATCTAACCTAGTTTGCAATTGCTACCCAGGAAAATGGGAATATTAGTAGAAGTCATCTGCAGCTATGCAAGGAGTAACTTAAATGAATAAAATTTATTATTTTTTCACCAATACTGCTGAGAAGATATGGCAGTAGAATAATTTCTTAAATCTCTTATTTCATGTCTTTTACTATTTAGTACTTTTCATATTGTGCTGTTCTATTGTTATTGACTAGCATCAGGCACAGCATGCAGCTAGAAACAAAAATCAGAACAGGCCAGTAGACATACAGTCCTTTAGGTGCATCTTGCCTAGGTTTTTAGGCAAGGTATTTGTCTATCAAAATTAAGATGGACTCTGGAGACAGGAAGTTGGGACACCAAAAGATGAATGTCACAGAGCCAGCGAAATGATAGCTACATTTGGCACTGGAGACTTAGAAATGAAGGCTGCATGTGAAACAGGCTAGAAGGGAGAAAGTTGCAATAGTCAAAGGTGAAATTATTTAAGCACGCAGAATTTTCCAAGGTAGTGACTAGATAGGAAAGAGATCTAATCAATTTTAAAAGATCAAACAGTGAAAAGTTAGTCCTTTTTTTAAATAAAGGGGAAGTCTGACATCGTTGAGAGATTTTTTCATCAAAACAGGTGGAAAAAATTAATCTGCAGATAAATTTTAATTTTTCTTAAATATGGGATTATAGTCCTTCCACCAGGTTTTCAGCGACAAGTTTACTGAGTAGCACACTGAAAGGAAAACACTTCAAGGTTGAATCTTTTTTCAGTAGCATTGCCTCACAATGTGGCATGAAATACTTGTAAACAAGCATATATTTTACACGGATATTAAGTCTTAAGCGATTTTTCTGTGCCTTAAAACCAGCCTCGTGGCGCAGTAGTTAAACTGCTGTACTGCAGCCAAGTGTGTGCTCACGACCTGGGGTTCAATCCCAGGTAGCCGGCTCAAGGTTGACTCAGCCTTCTAACTTTCCAAGGTCAATAATAGGAGTACAGTGGTGCCTCGACTTATGAACGCCCCTACATACAAATATTCCGACTTACAAACAGCTCCGGTCGCAAAATTTTCCTTTTGACTTGTGAACAGAGCTTCGACTTACGAACAGAAAAAAATGCGGGGAACGTGGAAAATTTGAACTTTCAGTTAACCGTTGGCCAGCAAAGAGGCTGACTGTCTTCGCTCACCCCAGCAGTTAGTGTGTGTGGATACGGAGAGAGACTTCAGACTGCCTGGTACTGCACTGTACGTACTCTATTTTATTGGTTTGGTTTAAAATGTGTTTTGTTTAAAATGTGTTGTGCCAAATGTGGGTTTAAAATGTTTTAAACTCCAAACTCTCCCCCCCCCTTGTCTTCTCTCTCTCTGCCTTCTTTCTTTTTGTGCTTAAAAGCACAAACCTTTGTCTGAAGGGTCTGTGTGCCCCAGTGATGACATTCTTTCTTTCCTCTTTTCCCATTGTTCCTTCCCTCCTTTCCTGCTTTTTTTAACCTAAGTAATCTTAGTTTTTAAAAAATCCCCCCTAGTGGTAGAGAACAGAGCAACCAGTTTTGCATTAGTTCCTATGGGAAACGAATGCTTCAACTTACAATGGGCGCCTCTACATATAAACAAAAAACAACCGGACCGGATTAATCGGGTTTCAATGCATTTCAATGGGAAATGCTGATTCAATTTAAGAATATTTCGACTTGCGAACATCTTCTGGGATGGATTAAATTCGTAAGTCAAGGCACCACTGTACCCAGATTGCTGGGGAGAGGCAATGTGTAGCCTGCATAATTAAATTGTAAACCGCCAGAGAGCGCTTTAAATTGCTATGGGGCGATATAAAAGCAGCACTCTCTCCTTTGCTTTGAACAAAGGAGAACTAGACTTACCGTATTTGTTGTCCTCCAGATACTTCAGACTTCAATTATCATGATACCTCACTACCAAACTCGTTAGCTCAAACTCATGAGAATCAGTCCAAAACATCTGGAGGGCACCAGAACTGAAAGTCTCTGGATTCTCAAGTACTAGTTAAAGTGGCTATAAATATGTCTCAGACTTCATATAATAATGTCACAGGTATTTAAAGTTACCATATTTTTCGCTCCATAAGACACCTTTCCATAAGACGCACCAATTTTTTAGGAGAAGCAAACAGGAAAATATAATCTGTTTTCTTTGCTCCGTAAGACGCACAGACTTTCCACCCCCATTTTGTGGGGGAAAAGTGCATCTTATGGTGCGAAAAATACGGTACATCATTTTGGAACCATCAAATCAGCAATTGATTTCACATGTACATGGAACTACCAGGGAAATTCTCTTCAAAAAGAATATGTATTGGACTCTGAGACTGAAGTAAGTGAACATTTTAAAATAAGAGACTTGAATAGAGAATCAGAAGATTTGGTAATAATTATTCCCAAAACTCAATATTCTTCTAAGCTAGCAAGGCACAGCTCGTTCAAATGTGATGTTCTGCATCACTCAGATGAGTTTCAAACAATTTCTGTGCATTCACACATGTGAAGAAAGCAAACAGGTCATTTGTACAATTTGTTCAAGAACCATCCAGTGAACTGATTTTATCTGGGAATTCGACAGCTTGTCCCTTATTGCACGACACTTGTCTTTAATCAAATTGCTTTCATAATACATTATGAAAGAACAATGATAGGAACCAAACCACCCCATAGTAAGTAGGGGTTACTTACAAGTCAGGTGTGGGCAAATACTAACAAAAAGTGACACACAAGTTTTTTTATGGGAGAGTGGCAATAAAAGGGTCTTCTTTCCTTTTTATTCAAAAAGGAGTAGGAAAAAGGACAGAGTGTAAAGTAATATTTAGACAGACAATAAAGTAGTACTTAGATTTAAAATAATCATGCGCAATACATTACTAATTCCATTCTGATTATACAGAAAGGATATATACTCATAGCCGAAACATTTAAAGCAAACTGCAAAGCAAAGAAAATGACATATATCACTTGAACTTTCATACTGAAATTACTGGAGACATCTGCTAACAAAAGCAACAGCTCACCATCATGTTATGGAGACCAGCATTTGTATTAGTGGATGAAATCTAAAATGAAACAATGGGTAGTCTTAGGTAGTGTCGAAGAGTATGGTCTCTGGAATTGACATTTATAAGAGAAAGATCTTAAATGGTAGTTTTTAGCCATTACATTCCTCATTGGTTTTTCTTGTAATAAAAATACAGTATCTTATCAACATTAAGAAGTGACAAGTGAGGCAGTGGAAAGAATACCAATTACAACAGACTCATAAATACAAATGTTGCTGTCCTTCAAGATGGGTAGTGTTGTAATGATAGTTTTCCAGAAGAATGTAAGCCCAGTTGTGTACATCAAAGTACTGGTTTTAACCACTTCCATATATTATCTGAAATAAGGGAGCTCTACAGTATAGGAAAGAACAAAACAAAAATAAAAAACCCTCCAAACGAAAAAGAACAAATCCAAAACCTATCACCCACCTTTCAGAAAAACATGGCTAACAAAATTTTCCACTGACACTTCTAATCACCACTTGCATTACATTCATATAGTGATGGAATAAGTAATACTTTCCTTTGTAATAAGAGGAGAACACAGTGCCACTGCACTGGAGAAACACAATGCTAGTCAACCATTCATCGGCCGAGGACCTTTTTTAAGCTGCTTTGGCACCACACATTTTTGTAATTACATAATTGGGTTCTACCACTTCAGAAAAGGATCACAGGGCTGATGTATTTGAAAGTACCAATTAAAGAACATTCATGTTAGTCAATATTAAACTTTTGTCCACAGAGCTTCTAATGCATGCCCTTCTCTTTCATGAATAATTAGATCAGAATAACCAGTCAGACTTCAAATCAATTAAACAACTTTACTAAATGAAAAAAACTACATTTAACATGTGTTTAAAACAAAATGGAGTTAGAAAAGAGACTTAAAGTCATTTTAAAGAACTTTTCACTTTGCCAGGATACTTGCAAAATATGTGCCATTTCATATAATGCAAGTTATTAGAATCTTCAATTTAACATTTGTAAAGACAGTATTAAAGAATTTTACATTTACTGTTGCACAATTATTATGGTATAAATTAGAAGCTTCCCTCCTAAAGAACCTTACAAATTTGACAATGCTCAATAAAAATTTGTATTCTTCTCCAATGAAGTCTCTGCATTTCAATTTTTATCCTCTTACAAATTTTGCACATATTTTTACACATTGTCATTTTTCAATATGAACCTTTTAAGAAAGGAAAATGGGAAAAGAAATACTGCAAATCTGGATCATGTACAGAAATTATTGCTACTATAATACACTACAAAGCAGAAGTTTCTACAATAGTATATGAACTTTGATCAAGGAAATCCAGAGGATATAATCTTTAGTGACATAAGCCTTACAATCATGTAGAACATTCACATGGCAATATTAGACAGTCCAACCACCACTAGCCATAGTTAATCTAATGCTCATTTATCAACATCCATTTAAATACACCCTCCTGGAGCCCAGGGCAGAGTGCAGGGGGGAACAGGGCTAGATTTTTACGGCTTGTCAGAGAGGGACCTTCACGTTTGGTGAGCTATGCAAAATGCACTTTAATGTAAGTATGGCATTATCAGGAAGCTAAGCATGCCAAAAGGTGTTTCATGCTAATAAAAACTAATGCAAGGTACCACATAATCAAGTTATCAACTAATAATACCCAATCTTGCCCTATGTTAGTTAAATGGGGTGCAACTGTGTGTTTAATGTTAGTTTAAAATGGTGCCGTGCACAAATTCATTCTGTGGCAGTCAACAATAAAAAGCAGGGAGTTTTGTTTCATGAGAAATAATGACAGCTGTCTGGGTAAGGAGAGATACTGAAGTCACGAGGTTGAGCTGCGTTTGTTTTTAGCCACTATACTCCAGAAGAGGGGCAGATGTTTAGTAAGCAAGATTATCAGGAAAAGAAGAACAGAAGCTGCTCAAAAATCTTTTCCATAATTCATTTTCAGCCAGGGAACATGACTAGAGATACTTTGCCATCATTCAACTACAAAATAATAGAAATAAAAGCAATCAAGCAACAGTAAGACCACATTACACAAATGAAACATCATGCTCTCATCTGATTTACCTATTACATCAAGCTTAAATTGGGATGTTGGTCAACTTTAAAAGTGATGTGATTATGAAACCAAAAGAATTTGTTTAGATCTGACTTTACTCTATGTTGGTTAATAGAACTTGGAGTATACTTGTTACAATATAGTGTTGCACATCTGTCAACTAGAAAATATTAAAGATCCTTTACCCGTCTCTTTAAGTTAAAGATGTGACATCATAGAGGGTGTCAAATGGCTGGATGATTTTACAGTGCACACTTATTATATACTGTATATATGGAGTTGTGTCCTTAATAGATCTGATGTTGGGTGTTTTTTTTCCCCACAATGTTCCTTTCTTCACCTCTTCTTCGGTGGATTAGCTGTGCGAGGTGGAGTGACCGGGCGTCCAGAATTCAGTCCACCATACTGGTACTTTGCTTTCTTTTCAGATGGCTTCAAGATCTTAAGAGGAAGAAGAATTATGTCTTATAAAAAGGACTCCAGAATTTTTCCATTAAATTATGAAAAACTCCAAAGATTGACTTCTCTGCTGATTGAGCAATTTCATTAAACTACTCTTATGCAGGACACACAGTTTGTAATAACAGACTTTGCCAACTAACTAAATCAGTGAAATACCACAAGTCAAGGTGAGCACATGTGTGGTAAACAGAAATTCCATGTTTAATATCCAACATTTCTGATTAAATAATCTGAAAAAGACTTCTGCCAAAACCCCTGGAGAACTATTGCCAATTACAATAGACAATACTGGGCTACATAAACCAACATATTCTATGTAAAACACTCTCAGAGAACCAGTCACTTCAAACCCAACTCATTCAGAACACCTCAGTGGGGTGATCTTCATTTAACAGTTCACACTATATTTCAAGCAAGAAATGGGTCTATGCAAAGAGCAAGACTTGCATGCACCATTCACAAATAAGAAATATTCCGGAGGAGAAATAAACAATAATTTACTTGTTTTGCAACAGACTGCTGGTTCTTTCCTATATGTGCATCAAACGTTTTAGCTTAAAAGAAACTGACTGGCTAAACAAAGTAGAAAAATAATCCAAGGGCTGATGTTGGTCTCTTTAACAACTGAACAGAAGAGCATCATTACATCTAATGGTGATATAAAAATGAAACTGAATTCTAGTTTTTTCCCTTCCTCCTGGCTCCAATAGAGGAGAGAAGAGTAACTTGAGCCCAATGCTTTACATGGACACATTCCTACTTGTGAACAGAACACATTACATGCAAAGCAGGCCAGAGTTACTTCATACATATCAGTTTCCCCCAAATTGAGATACTCCAGCAAGAACCATACCCTCTTCCACCCCAGTTCTTCAAGCAAATATTTACCTTAGTATTCTATGCTTACCAGCAGTAGCCTAGCAACTAGTCATTAGACTTAGCACTTTATTAGACAAAATATCACATTTACCAAGAATATTCTTTCAAACCGCTCTTGTCCTATATTCTTTACAAGAAAAATGTCAAGAGATAGATGTCATTCTTGATTATCATACCTGAAAAGAACACATCAAAGTTTCATCCACACTCATCATGCCACCAGCATTGTCAAATTCTCCGCAGTAATTAGGAGCAGAAAATAGGGTAACTAGTTGTCGTTTAGCAAAGAATTCATAGCCATCTTCAACCACCTGTCAAGAAAGGTATGCACAGTCAAGATAATGTAGCTAAAATACATCTGCATATATTATAGAATAAGCATTTTGGCTAAGAAAATAGCAACAATTAGGCATGGGATTTTTAATTATTATTTTTTACAACAGCAGGAATTCCCTCAAGTAGAAGTCCAATTGTTTGAGCAGTTTCAGAATCAGGGTAGATTTTAAAAAATCAATTTAAAGAAAATGATTTAAATCACCATTTAAATTTAAAAACTCAATTTTTAAAATTTCAATCTTCAAAAAATACAATAAAAAATTTTAAATGGTGATTTAAATCAATTTTATCAAATCCACCCTACAGGATCCTCAACTGTTCCTCATCAAGGTTCCCTTTGTGAACAGCAAAACGTTAGGGTACAGCAGTCTCTGTCCATTAGGCCTGCCCTACAGAGGGTATCTCTCAAAAAACCTATCACTCATAATGCTTTGCTATTCCCATGGAACCTGGAAAACTCCACATGTTTCCATGATTTAATGTCTGTCTGTAGTCCTGAAACTCCTTTAATAGGAGATGGGGTTTTTTTTGTTTTTTTTTTGTTTTGTTTTGTGTTTTTGGCTAAATCAACCAGAATTGTAGCTGGGGGAAATTCCTACTAAAACTTGCCAGTTGTAGTAAATCCTATGCCTGGAAGCTATGATACACAACATAACATTTTAATATTTAAATTAAAACCTAACAAAGAGAAGGTGCTGTATTAACTAGAGACTGAAATGAATTATTAGATGTACTGCAAGTCTTCAACTTTTTGTAACCCTTTTTTCAAAAGCACAGTCCTAAGATTGAGAAATATCTACATACAGAGAAACCTGGAAACATAGTTGGTCCCAATATAATAACTAAATCACACCTTAGGTCGAATCAGACAGGTTGCATCAGTAGCAGAGGAGCTGTTTGCAGCCTCCTTGGCACCTCCTCACCCATTTGCCAGCATATAATCACATTCTGCACTGGCTTCCATGCAGCAAGTAGACCTCCACAATTTAAAGATACGCAAAACCAGTCAAAACTGAAAAGTAGTATATTCATACCTGGTGAGCTCGACAAATTAAATCCAAATCATGCCGATTTAAGAATTTGCTGACTACATCAGCTCCAAAAGTGAAAGAGACTCCACGATCGTTTTCACCCCAACCCTGCACATCTTTGTCTGGATCAGACCACAGCAGATCACACAGCAAGCCTTACAAAAAGAGAATGAGCATGAGCACCTTAGAAACTGTCCAAATGTATAACTGGCATATGATTTCTTTTTGCTAGGCATGTTTTATTAGAGATTCTGAATGCACTCCTGTTTCAATTTAAGGAAGCACAACTGGACCCTATGTTAATTTTAACAGCTTCCATCTAAAAACGCATACACAATCTGATATACACAGATTTCAGCTGACAATGCATTATTTCTCTATATTCATTTTCCATTAACAGAAAAAATGAGATGTAGTTTAGATCCTAAAGATTTATGTTATTCCATGCACTGTCTCAGAACCGGAAAGGTAAATGATCTCAGAACATGCTATTTAAAGTGGAATTGCAGAAAAACTCTCACACATACTACTACATACCACACAAATGTTTCAAAATTCTTTAAAATGAGCAGCCATTTTTGCAGGTCTCACCTGTATCAGGGACATCTGTGGGTCTCATAATTCTTCTGATCTGTTCCATAGACTGCAGATCTGGTGAGAGTCCTGTCAACATTAAGGGACATAATATTCATTTTGTTTGTAGAAGATGGTAAACAAAAAGAATTTAGACAACCTTCGCTGCCAGTTTCCACTGCAGTTAGTCAGGCAGCTACTTTCTGTTTATAATTACACCCCACTATGTGGTCCAATCACTTCTAAAACAACTGCTTGGTAACCAGAACCACCATGTTTCTGAAAATAATGCAACAAGTTTTGAGAGACAGGACTAGCTTCAACATTGGACAATGACACAATTTGGCCCTGTACACCACCACAATGGATTTGAAATGTAACCAAGATGCAGACTTTCATTTTTAATTCAAGGGGTTGAACAAAAGTATCATATAAAACATTTAGTAATGACAATCATTTTCATACACAGTCCCCTTATTTCAGGGGCTCAAACGTAATTGGAAACATTAACACAACTATAAATAAAATGTCCATTTTTAATATTCCGTAGAGAATCCTTTTCGGGAAACGACCGTTTGAAGTTTGGAACACATGGACATCACCAAACGTTGGGTTTCCTCCTTTGAGATGCTTTACCAGGCCTTTACTGCAGCTGTCTTTGATTGTTTGCTCGTGGGTCTTTCTGCCATAAGTTTTTTTTCCAGAAAGTTAAATGCATGCTCAATAGGGTTCAGATCAGGTATTGACTCAGCCATTGCAGAATACTCCAGAGAGAGAGAGAGAGAGAGAACCGAGGCGCCACCAATGAGCTGTGCTTCGGCGCTGGCTCTCTCTCCCCGAGGGCTCTGGAGGCCTGGGTTTGAATCTCCAGTCAGCCATGGAAACTCACTGGAGGTGTCTAACCGCTAAAACCACTCCGAATATATATCTCACTTACTTCGAAAGCTTTAAGTCCAGACCCATGCTTCGCAGGGCAGCCATTTTAACAGCTGATCAGCACTCGCAAAATTGCTTCCCTGTGGGCGATCTTCGCTGGATGATGAGGTAATTTCCCCATTGGAGCACATTAAACCGAGGTTCAATGCATTCCAATGGGAAAAGGCTTTTTGCATGATGACGATTTCGCTTAACAGCGATTTTCCCGGAACAGATTATCGATGTCATGCAGGGCACCACTGTACATGTTCTTTGCTTGCATTGGGACCATTTAGCTCCCTTGTTCCAGTTACTACATGACATTCTGTTGTATTTAATGGGAGTCAAGCTTGAAAACAACTCCGTAATGATTTTTTGCAAATGTTGGTGAAAACATGGTGTAGGATCCAGTAGTTGAGCAGAATAGTGGACACCTGTAAAATCCCCTTCACAAGGCTTCATGGAGGAGGGGGGAAGGAAAGTTCTTTACGGTCTTAGGCATACAGCTGGTTTAGCCCATTGTTACTTGTTCTCCTTAATGATTCAAAATTTGGTTAAAACATTTTAGTATAATGCAAAGACTTTTCTGATTAGAAAATGTTAGTTGTAAAATATGCATCCCCCCACTCTAAGTATACTTCACGTTTCTGTGCTATGGGATTCTCTTTTTGGTATTGTCAAGTAGAAATTCTTTTTTAATGTGCTAGCTTGCTAGTATCACATTTCATACCTGTTTTGAGTCAGAAATGTATGCTCACATAACGCTGTTTTCTAACAGTAACAGTTCTTGAATGTTTTACTTCTCTTGAAATATATAGTAACTCCAGTCTCTACACAGAAAAACATGTTATCATTGGTATTTTTAAAACTATTTTTAGCTAGTTATTTTGTTTTAAGCTCTTTAAACCAAAATCAAGATCTGGTTATTACAGCACTTTACATCCTATTCATTCTAAAGTTCTAACTTAAGTATGCATGCATTTGGTGTTGCTTGTTATAATTAAACCCTATTTTCTGGTAATGCTTGATGTTTAATCAGGCCAACTCTTGCCAGATTTCATTGGTGATATGTTGGGTGTGCGTGTAGGTGTCTGGGTTGGGTAGAAATTTGTTTTGCTGATAGAATCCATTCTGCTGAGAGAGTGCACTGGGAGGTAGGTTTGTGTGTGGTTATTTGCTAGTGTAAATAAATTTATACAAAGAGTGATACAGAATTCTGTTTTTGCTCAGTATTATTTTTGTGTTTTCTTTAGTCTAGACATATTGTATTGAAAAATGTATCAATTTTTTGAACATAGCTTCTTTTGGTGCATGTCCTGGGGTAGTTTGTATAATCCTTTGGTGCTACATACCTTTTTGCAGATTCTGAACATGATTCTAATGGACACTGTTAAACTACAGGAATAGACCAATGTATAGAGTTTATTAATGAAGTACCACACAAGTGTTAGTTTTGGTGTGAACACATATATTGCGAATTTGCTTCCCCATACATTTGTGGAACATATTTGTTGCATACTGAAACATCAGAGGTTAAATACTGACAGACTGTGTTAATGTGTGTTTTACTTCTTCCTTGTCTTTTGTATGTTAGTTGTATCGATCAGAGGCTTTATTTTCCCCTTCACTGTTTAAACTAGAGAACCATCTGTTTTAGAATGCACTTAGGTCTGGAAATAATTGTACACTGAGAGAAGTTTTGTTATTTTGGGTGTTTACCAAAATATATTCAAATTACACTTAAACAATGAATATGGGTTTAAAGTGCAGTCTCTCAATTTTAATTTCAGGTATTCCCATCCAAATTGGAGGAAAGGTTTAGTAATTACGCTCTTTAATATGTATCCCCCTCTTTAATTCTCAAAAGCTCTTTCATGGACAGATATGGGCTATTCATTCATTATTTCATAACAATTAAGCAGGTAAAAGCTCTGGAGTTTATTCCAGGTGTGTTATTCACATTTGGAAAGTGTTGCTGTGAACCCACAAAATGAATTTAAAGGAGGAGCTCTCAATGTAAGTGAAACAGGCCATCCTTAGGCAGAGAGAGAGAGAGAGAGAGAGAGAGAAGAACATTAGGAATGGCCAAATCAACAGAATCAACAGTTTGGTACATTATGAGATAAAAAGAACGCACTGGTGAGCTCTGCAACACAAAAAAGTGTGGACATCCATGAGAGACAATCATAGGATCCTTTCCATGGTAAAGAAAAACCCCATCCAGCTAAATGAAGAACATTCTCCAGCATGTAGCATATCATTATCCAAATCTACCATAAAGAGAAGACTTCACAAGAGCAAATACAGAGGGTTCACCACAAGGCGCAAACCATTCATAAGTCTCAAGAACAGAAAGGGCAGATTACAGTTTTCCAAAATATATCTTTAAAAGCCCAGTTCTGGAACAACATCCTTTGGACAGATAAAACTAAGATCAACCTGTACCAGAATAATTGGAAGAAAAAAAGTATGGAGAAGTCTTGGAATGCCTCAAGATGCAAAGCATACCACATCATCTGTAAAACACATTGGAGGCAGTGTGATGGCATAGACATGCATTGCTTCCAATGGCACTGGTTCACTAGTGTTTCTTGATGACAGAAGAGTGAAGCAACTGGATGAATCTGAAGTGTATAGGGATATATTTTCTGCTCAGATTCAGCCAAATTCAGCAAAGTTGATTGGATGGTGCTTCCCCACGATCATCGCAAAGTGATTTCCCCCCATTTAAAACATCGCAATGCGATCGCTTTTGCGATCGCAAAAACTCAATTGCTATGCGGATTCATCGTTAAACGGGCCGCTCATTAAGTGAGGCACCACTGTACACCTCTGTCTTTAAAGACAGGAGCATTAAGGAAAACTGGCAGCACCTAGATGTTGCAATCATTGAGTCAACATTAACTTAGTCTGAGGAAGTGGACTTGTTCATGAAAGCTCACATTAAAATATATCAGCTAGTTTTTAAGGTGTCACAAATGGTAAATGACTGATACAGTGGTGTCTCGCATTATGAGTTAATTCATTCCAGCGAAATCGCTGTAGAACAAAAACGTCGTAATGTGAAATTAAAAAGCCTATAGAAACGCATTAAAACCCGATTAATGCATTCCTAGGGGCTTGAAACTCACCGTCTAGCGAAGATCCTCCATAGCGTAGCCATTTTCACTACCTGTGCAGCGAGGAATCCGTCCCAGAAAAGAGCGGGGAACCATGTTTTTTTGCCCGGCGGCCATTGTGAAACCGCTGATCAGCTGGCTGAAAATCATCGTTTTGCGAGAATCGGTTCCCGAAGCAGAGAACTGATCATCGCAAAGTGAAATTCCCACATAGGAAACATTGTTTTGCAATCACTTTTGCGATCACAAAACCTTCAATGTAAAGCCTGAAAGAGGTGAGGGGGTTGGCATGTCGAAATAGGGCCTTCTCGGCTGTTGCCCCCCAACTTTGGAATGCCCTCCCTGTAGAGATCTGCCTGGCTCCGACACTTTTGGCTTTTCGGCGCCTGGCAAAGACCTTTCTGTTCAACCAGCATTTTAATTAAACAGTATTCCCTAGCTGGCCACATGAGCAGCAGGACATATTAATTTTTGAATATTTTAAAAATTGTTTTAATATATGACATTTTATATTGTCTTTTAAAATGTTTTTAATGTTTTTAAGTTTTAATGTTGTACGCCGCCCAGAAGCCACTGGTAATGGTGCGGCTAAAAATATTGTAAATAATAAAAAAATAAATAATAAAGCGATTTCATCGTAAAACAGAGGGCTCGTAATGCGAGGCACCACTATATTGTAAACCGTGGAGCAGGATCTGAGATCAAAAGGCCTACAGGTTGACATATTTGCTTGACCTCTTCCAATTTATAGCTCTGGTCTTCTTCAGGACTCAGAAAATGAATTAAACTCCCATGCCCTGTTGGAAAGCTTTATGGCTCCCTTGAAGGAGCTGAACTGGCCACTGATCTGCTTGGATGGATTCCTGGAAAACGGTGCTATTCTAAGGCATGTTTATGATGTATTTCAAATGCTGTCTGAGTTTGGTATGAGGCACAAAACAAAGATAATGTTTGCATACATTTGACAAAACTCTGAAAAGGTTTAATTTAACCAGTTCAAAAAGAGCAATTTGCTTACCTCCGTGACAGCAAAAAATCTTCTCATCTACAATGGCTGCAATAGGTAGGCAATTAAAGCAGTCTGTAAATGTCTTCCAAAGCTTTATATTGAATCGCCGTTTACCTATTGGAAAAATAGCATTTTACATTATCATTTCCAGATTATTCAGTATAAGATATGACCCTAAAAATTAATGTTACATAGCTGACCCTAGCCATTACTTCTCTAAAAAGATATTTCATAAGCACTAGGACAAAGTTTTCAACCAAGTTTTAAAGCAGTACAGACATTTTTATCATATGGGTGAATGTAGGAATAATTCACAGCAATTTTTACTTACATTCATCATAGAATCCATATATGCGATTAATACTAGCACATTCATGATTTCCTCTCAGGAGGAAAAAGTTCTCGGGATATTTGATTTTATATGCAAGTAACAAGCAGATGGTTTCCAAGGATTGTTTTCCTCTGTCAACATAATCTCCCAGAAAAAGGTAGTTTGCCTCTGGTGGAAATCCCCCATACTCAAACAATCGAAGTAAATCTGTATACTGGCCATGAATGTCACCTTTAAAAAAAAAAAGAGAGAGAAAGAGAGAGGGAGAGAGAGAGAGAGATGGATGTCATATTATGAAGCCATTATTATTACATATGACTCATTCTAAAGATGGAATAGTAAAGGAGGAGATAAAAGATTATTTATCTGAAGCACTTTCCTAGTAGAAGAATAACTTCTAAAGTTGAGACCTAGATTCAAGAATAAAACCCTGATTACCACGGTATTTAAGCTTAGTACGACTGAGGCAAAGTTTATGTACAGCAGAAAGTGTTTCACAAAAATGTTCACCAATGTTAAAAAATCAGATTTCCCTCTCCCCTTTTTTCCTGATAATGTTTCAGGGAGTTCTGCAAGAAGTTTAAAAAGGTGAGCCATTGCTGTTTATCCCAACTCCCAAGAACCATCCATGTGTGTAATACACGGTTTTCTGACCTCACACTAAAGTAACTTATTTGTGCTTTGTGGAAGCAGAATATGGCATGCAACAGTTAAACAGCCCTGTTACGTTACCACAGCCAGTAAAATATCCCAACTGGTAGCAATCATTTGGTAGCATTAAATAGTTTTTTAAAAAAGTACTGTTTGGGAGAAATCACTATAACAGTAATGCAACGATCACCAAGCCAAGTTAATCACACGGATACTTTCAGTCCCAGGCTGTATACTGCCAAGCACTCACAGCAATGATAGGATACCAAGAACTTAGAAAAGTTATTTTCTGGACTGCAGTTTCCGGTATCCACCAACCAGCCACTGGTCATGCTGGCTGAGAAGTTCGAGAAACTGTAGTCCTAAATTTAACTTTTCCAAGCCCTGGGTATGCTATGTGCTAAATAATTCTTAACAGATTTCCTAATCATTTGCGAAATTACAGTGGTGCCTCGACTTACGAACGCCCCTACATCTGAACATTTTGACTTACGAACAGCTTCAGTTGCAAAATTTTGCTTTGACTTGTGAACGGAGCTTATGAACAGAAACAAAATGCAGGGAAAGCAGGAAATTTGAATTTTCTGTTAACCATTGGCCAGAAAAGAATCTGCTTGTCTGCTACCTCGCTTGCCCCAGCAGTTAGGGAGAGTGGATACGAAGAGAGACTTCAGACGGCCTGATACTGTTCTGCCTGATACTGTACAGTATTTTTTTTTTAATTTTTGATTTTTTGATTTTTGACTTTCTTTTTTAAAACAGAAAGAATACCTGTTATGGGTGAGTACACTGTACAGTATTTACTGTACAGGGGTTTTGCAGCTTGGGTTTGGGCTAGGTAGGGGATTATCTTTCTGTGCTCTGATGGGTCTTGCAGACCCTTTCTGCAAGGGTCTGTGCTTGCTGGTGTGCTTTAAAATGGATTTTAGTCTTTTGGTTTTAAATTCAGATTTATTTATTTTTTTGCAATGGTCTGTGCTGGCTGTTGTGCTCTAAAATAGAGTTTAGACTCAAGTCTCTCTCCCCCACCCCTAATTATCTTCTCTCTCTCTCTCTGCTCACCACGTGCTTGGTTTGGTTTAAAATGTGTTTTGTTTAAAACGTGCCTGGTTTGGTGTAAAATGACTTGGTGTAAAATGTGTGGGTTTAGCATGTGCGGGTTTAAAATGTGTTTTAGGTTCCAAACTCTCTCCCTCCCATTGTCTTCTCTCTGCCTTCTCCCTTTTTGTGGTTAAAAGCACAAACCTTTGTCTGAGGGGTCCATGTGTCCCAGTGATGACCTTCTTTCATTCCTCTTTTCCCCATTGTTCTCTCCCTCCCTCCTTTCCTGCCTTTTTTTTAACCTAAGTCATTTTAGGTTTAAAAAATCTCCCCCTAGAGGTAGAGGATGGGTTAACTGGTTTTGCATTCATTCCTATGGGAATAAATGCTTCAACTTACAACCAGTGCCTCTACATACAAACAAAAAACAGCCAGAACGGATTAATCGGGTTTCAATGCATTTCAATGGGAAATGCTGATTCAATTTAAGAACATTTTGACTTGTGAACATCTTCTGGGACGGGACGGATTAAGTTCATAAATTAAAGCACCAATGTACTGGGTGAATCTACATACTTTTCTCTGTGACAATTTATAAGATTAGTCAAAACAAAATTCACTCCCAGCATAATTCAACAGTACAGCTTGAAAACTATATTGCTGGTGTTTCCCAACCCTTTTCAACCCCTTTTATAACAGCCAAGTAACCTGCAACCCCACCAAATTTGCACAAAAAGGCATTTTAATGGGTTAAACTAGCATGAGAAGACAAACTTCACTGGAAAAGACAAAAATGACAGGAAAAGAGGAAGGCAGAACTTGAAATGGATTGACTCAACAGCTTTTATTTTGCAAGACTGCAGCAGGGTTTTTGACTATAGGTGTAAGGTTTTTTTGGGAGGATGGGGGAGCATTAATGCATAAGACCCCCCAAAGCAGAAGCAATTTGATGGCACATAACACCACCACCAAGTATCTATTACTTGGTCGTCTCCCCTCTGCTGGGGTGGGCTTGCAATTTGTGTTCCACCTGTTCCTCCTCTCTCTACCAGTTTTTTCTAGCCTCCCTTCCAACCCAGCTGAGATGGACCAACATCACCCTCACGTACAACCAGGGAGGGAATCCACAGATCTTGGAAGGAAGAGGCAGCCCTTAGAGAAGGAAAAACCCACTGTCCTCCAGAGGAAGGAAGAAAAAGACAGGAAGGGATTTTTTTTTTAACTGCATACACCCTCCTGACCCCTCACCTGGCTCCCTTGCTCTCTAGGAACTCAACCCAGGGCAATTAACCCTTGCTAAGAAAACAAAGCAACTAGTAACCTGTTAGCATAATCATAAGCATAGAGACAGAAACCCCTAGTTTGTTTAAGCCTGCTAACCCTCCAGAAAACACTATGTAACCCCTCTGGGAATTGTGACCCACAGGTTGGGAACCCATTTGCTAGAGAGTTCTTGACCCACTCAACTCAGAAAGAACTAAATGCAAAGGAAGTGATTAGAGGAAGAAAAATATTATATGTTCTTCTGCAGGAAGGTAATAGATATATCTCCTGTAGGTGTCTGAAGCGGTGATAGAGAAATAAATTAAGGAAAACTTGCATTTTGACTGTTGATGGCACTACATTAACCATGAAGAGAACTGCTTACAGCTTTTTAAAATGATTAATCACACCAGATTAAGAGTTTTCGTCCTACATTATCAGTAACAGCTGACATTCTAATAACTGCAGGAAGGTAATAGATATATCTCCTGTAGGTGTCTGAAGCGGTGATAGAGAAATAAATTAAGGAAAACTTGCATTTTGACTGTTGATGGCACTACATTAACCATGAAGAGAACTGCTTACAGCTTTTTAAAATGATTAATCACATCAGATTAAGAGTTTTCGTCCTACATTATCAGTAACAGCTGACATTCTAATAAATGCAATTCCCCCCCCCCCCAATTAATTCTCCCTACAACAGGACTGGGCAGGTCCAGGTGTCAGTTCCATGCCTTGACAAAATTAAACTCAAACATTAAAAGGAAAGAAAAAACTGAAGCAGCTGAAGTCCATTTCTGGTTTTGAAAATGGCTATTTGGGGGATGGGGTTTTTTTGCTACAAAATAGCACTGGGAAGAATCTGATGAGGCAGACAGGGTCTTCAGAAATCTGCATGTGGCCACAGAGCCATAATTTGCCTTCTGCTATACAGCAAGGAAACAAGCTTTCGGAAACAGGGTTCTATTCCCTCCACACAGTTTCTATTCGAGGCACTAAATGTTTTTCAGAATCTGAAGAGTACCAAAGAGGTCAACATCTCTTTTACCTGCTTCTTAGACCTAGTGTCTTCAACAATCACACTCCACTGCATATAGGGCAAGTATTACAGTATGGTACTTGTACTTTTGTGTACAACTGGCATGCATTCAACACAAAAACCATATTAGATTTTAATAAACTATTTAAAAGCTGTAGGGAGCCATGGATTTCCTTTGGATCTGGAGGCTCATATTCAAAACCCACTTGTCTTGGCCTCAAGGGATATTTTATTCTTCATATGCCTGTTTTTTGTTTTGTAATGATATGGTCAGGGTCAACTAAAGAGTTACAACTGATATGTTAGCACGACAGCTCTCCTAACACACAAACAGTGATGGAGCAATATTGTCTTTCTAGTATCTTTCACTTTCCATGTATACATACATCACTGCAGGCTATGCATCAGTTTTTATCATGCTCTCATCCAGGTAGGGCCGTAGCTGGTATATTCCTTGTTGTGAATCATGCTGCATTCACAACAAGGAATAATTTCTTAGACTGCTAATCCGGAAATCCTGGCGATTTAAAACAAATTATGATTTTTTAAAGCAATTCTCTACATTTCTTTATAAGAAATATATCTGATGCATTTCATACCAACAGAGCATACAACAACACAAATCATGTCATAAATGGTTGACAAAAACATGGATGTTTACAGCATCTTGGGTTTCTACTGCCTATTCTGCAATGTCTACCTTCTGATCATTTTGAAGAGCTGCTTATCCACGACATGATGCAAACAGTGTCTACAGTGGCATTCTGCTCTACCCCCAAACCACTGAAACCACCTGGTAAGTACTCTGGGGCTTTAGATAAAAATATAGGGAATGTCTTTCTTGGGTCTCATCCAAAGGTGACTGCACAAGTATGATGACGGTAGGTACAACCCCATTAGAGGCATTTCAGATCACAGTATTTATATATTATTTGACCTTTAAAGTTGAACTAAGGAACTAATTTTACAACAAAGAATTGACATAATCACTTTTTTGGATTAACCCAAGATTGTGTGATACTGTATGGAAATTAATCATTTCATGTGGCAGAAATGTACAAAACTAGCACATTGGGCAAGTGCATTATATTTTCTTTTTCTTTCTTTCTTGGCTTCCTTTTAATTATATATTTACAATATATACCACAATTGGCTAAATTTCTTATACTTTTTTTTGTTTCTACCAGACATCATACACATAACATTAGTACATACCACAGATCTTCAGTGGTGCCTCTAGCTCCAGAAGAATAGGCTGGCTAAGAAAGATTTCTCGAGATTTTATACACAAGCCACGAACTTCTGCTTCTGTCATCTGTACAATCTTGCCTGGACGACATCCTCGAACTGAAAGATAGACAAATAAAAGCTTCTACATTTCAAGTCTCTGAAAATATATCAAGGAAAATAAGGGAAGGAAACTAAGTAACCCCTAGTTTCCTAACTACTAACCATAAAGCAGGGTTGAAAAACTGATCAGTCCTAATTTTCAGTTTGAACTGGTCACTTAAAAATCTATGACAGAATGATGATCCTAGTATTTGTCATCTTACTACCAAGATTTCCAATATTTTGGAGATTACTAGAAAAGAATTTGTTGAGCATTTGAGTCAAATAATTTGACCAACATCCTCTTGTGCAGTTCCGCCAGCAGAACACTAATGCAGAACAGAAAGAAAATTCCCTCATGCTAAGAAATTACCACAGACATTAGCTATTGCATACTGACTCACGTGACTCAAGAGTGCAAGGAATAATGTCTACAGTGATTTCTTAACCTAAGGTAATGTATCTCCAAAAATTATTCTGTTAGTGTTATGCTCACGTAATGGCACAAGAGAATTCTGGCCTTCATGTGGAAATAAATGGACAGCTCAAAAACTGTAAGAGGGGAAGAGCCACAAACTGTGGAATCCAAATTCCACAAATGAGCAACACCTTCATCAGCTCAACCAAAGGGGGGGGGGGGAACCTACTGCAAAAACTGTATCAAATATTTAGAATAAATGAAATTTCTTGTATGTGTTAATTTACACAGAAGTGTGATAGCATAATTCTATACCTCTATAAGAAGTCCCACTGGATACATTCACAGATCATGAATTTGTCCACAAAATCATAAGAGGAATCCTAATTTCCAAATTTGGTAGAAGGAATTCAGACAAACGCCCTTTCCCATTTCTGGTTTGTGTCTTTCTCTCTGATCTATAAGTTCCTCCTTTATCTTGAGCAGTGAAACAAAACAGGAATAAGCCACAAATGTGGTATGGACATCACAAGTCATGGCTGAAATTTTAAACAAGCTAGAATGCATAAGGCAGCAACAAATTGTAAATTCACTTTGGTTGGTTAACACACCACAGTTTCTTACAGAGGCAGAACAATATATTACATTTTAACAGACCACACCACAGCTTGGTGTGACATACACAGGCATTGAATTAAATGATGTTTATTCTCACATATGTTTGAGTAAGATTACAATCAGGCCATACGTTCACCAATTTCATTAGCCAATATCTGTCTTCATAAACAAATATGAAATTTTATAATGTGTGGTAGGCCTGGGCTTCGCAGCCATCTAGTAAAAAACATCTTTGCTAGGAAGCCCAGCTATAATTTTCAAAGCCTTAGTTAAGGCGTTGAATTTTACAAATACATTTATAGGTAGAACTATATTAAAATGATCCTTAAAGAAATGGGAGTGCCTGACCACCTTATCTATCTCCTGAAAAATCTATACGTGGGACAGGAAGCAACAGTTAGAACTGGATACGGAAACACTGATTGGTTCAAAATTGGGAAAGGAGTACGACAAGGCTGTATATTGTCTCCCTGCTTATTTAACTTATATGCAGAATACATCATGCGAAAGGCCAGACTGGAGGAATCTCAAGCTGGAATAAAGATTGCGGGAAGAAATATCAACAAGCTCAGATACGCAGATGATACCACTCTGATGGCAGAAAGTGAGGAGGAATTAAGGAACCTTGTAATGAGGGTGAAAGAAGAGAGCGCAAAAAATGGTCTGAAGCTCAACATCAAAAAAACTAAGATCATGGCCACTGGTCCCATCATTTCCTGGCAAATAGAAGGGGAAGATATGGAGGCGGTGACAGATTTTACTTTCTTAGGTTCCATGATCACTGCAGATGGTGAAAGCAGCCACAAAATTAAAAGACGCCTGCTTCTTGGGAGGAAAGCGATGACGAACCTCGACAGCATCTTAAAAAGCAGAGACATCACCTTGCCAACAAAAGTCAGAATAGTCAAAGCTATGATTTTTTCCTGTAGTGATGTACGGAAGTGACTGCTGGACCATAAAGAAAGCTGACCGCCAAAGAATTGATGCTTTTGAATTGTGGTGCTGGAGGAGACTCTTGAGTGTCCCCTGGACTGCAAGGAGAACAAACCGATCCATTCTAAAGGAAATCAACCCTGAGTGCTCACTGGAAGGATGGATCCTGAAGCTGAAGCTCCAATACTTTGGCCATCTCATGAGAAGAGAGGACTCCCTGGAAAAGACCTTGGTGTTAGGAAAGTGTGAGGGCAAGAGGAGAAGGGGACGACAGAGGATGAGATGGTTGGACAGTGTTATCGAAGCGACCAACATGAATTTGACCCAACACGGGGAGGCAGTGGAAGAAAGGACGTCCTGGCGTGCTCTGGTCCACGGGGTCACGAAGATTCAGACATGACTAAACAACAATATTAAAATGAAATATTAACATTTAATAAACATTTTTGTTCTTCCTCTCACTTTTAGTTGCCGGGGTGTGAATATAACAGCAAATGAGATCCATGTACAAAGTACAGTATCAGGACTTACACTGCACATGGAGAAGAGGAAAGGAGAATACAGTATGACTAAGTCTCACATCTTTATTGGTTTTAGATTGATGTACCAATTTAATTTCATCAACTCCTTCAAAACATCGTAAGAAAAGATAGGAAGCACCGAAGTGTGTGTGTATGTGTGTGCGTGTCCGTGTGTGTGTGTGTAATGAAATCTTGTTTATTAGTGTAGTAAGTCACACTAAAGTAAGCACATATCAATCAATGGAAATTAAAGGGCACTTGATTAATCAAATCTCCACTGATTCAATGGGGTTTACTAAAATTCCTTCTTGAAGTGCAGTGTTCTCATGCCGTTTGTTAATGGCTTGAATTTCCAGGTACTGCAGCCAACTTCCTAGCAAAGCTGCAATCTTTCCTTAGAGCATGAAGATGTTTTGCCCTGTATGAAAGAAATCCTCTCTTCCTCTAAGATTCTGGTCTGCATAATCCTATTTCAGGGAAGTTAAGGAGTGTCGCAAAGGAAAAATCTATCTTCTCAAGAATGAAGAATAATGCGCATGTTTGGTGGCCTTATAGTTACGTTCCAACTCTATTATTCTATGAGATTCTATGATTCTGTGTTCCAAGTTATAGGAGAAAGGTAGCATATAAATTACATTAATCAAATGCTTGTTGAGAAAATAGAATGTACTGAAGAGGTATTGTTCATATATTCAATAGGGCAGTCAGCTACAAATTATCTCCTCAAAATGCTAGCTCCCCATAAATTCCAAGCAGTATAGCCAATACCCACAGATATGGAATTAATTTACTAAAACACATCTGGAGGACAACAGATTACCTTTCTATACTTTACACAGACTCTGCCTTGTGATTCTTCACTAGAAAGGCATCTCAGATCTCAGAATGGCTTCATAGGAAATTATGTTAGTATTTTAGACTACATTTATACAGAGTAAAAAAGAAGTTAAACTCTACAAGTACAGTGAGCTTTGATGGAATTCTTGTAGTATCTACAAGAAAACAAAAATATTTGGAAAGTCTCAGAGACTCTCAGTCATTCTTATGAATAGCAACAATGAAGACATTCATGGGTGGACAGTGGGATAAAAACTACAGTGATGAAGGAAAAAATTATCTCTGCTAAACATCATTTTCTAATGCTGGATTTGAATGTAACAATCTGCTCTAGAAACACTTGAATACAATGTATACTTGTGCCACTGACATAGTTCATACAAATTCAGGAAGAAACAGTTGCCAAGTTCAAGTTTTGGCTTTAAACATTCTTAACACATAAAAAAGAGCACAGAATGCAAACTGAGATGCACATTTAAGATTCACCAATTTCAGTAAAAACAAATCAAGAAGCAGCAAGTTTTCATTTCTATGTAGCCCTGGATAGGGGCATGCCAGAACAGGAGAAGACACTGCTGAAGAACTAATCCCTATCAAAAACAGGATATATTTGCTTATATAGGTAGAAGTTCATTTCATGTGCAGACGTATGCCATAATATAATTAACACACTGAACCTGCATGGAGTAAACCTAACTGCCGATCCACTGTTGGCAAGACATCTACCCTAAGAAAAACACTGTATGGTTCTTGTAGTTTTGGGGGGCTGTTTGGTCATGTTCTGGAGGTTTTTCTTCCTAATGTTTCGCCAGTCTCTGTGGCCGGCATCTTCAGAGGACAGGAGTTAGAACTCTGTCTGTGTAACTGACTTCCAATTCCTGTCCTCTGAAGATGCCAGCCACAGAGACTAGCAAAACATTAGGAAGAAAAACCTCCAGAACATGGCCAAACAGGCCAAAAACCCTACAACAATGATCAGATGGCAGTCATAAAATCCTTCGAGAAAATACTGTATCTTTCTCTAAGTTAAGATACCGTACTGAAGTATTGAGTTGTATCTATGAATGAACAAAGGTCATCCCAAAGTCTTAAGAAGCAGAAAGATGTAACTCCCTAACCGGGTTTAAAACTGCCCCACACAGATCAAATACGATGGTAGGAGGGGATGAGATTTACCTCCACACACATACCAGAAAAGAGTCTTTAAAAGAAATAGTAATCAAAAGAACATCCATGCACTATCTATTTTATTGTGCAATGTGCATAATGACCCACACCCTTTTTCCTCGTTGTTCCTTTGCAGCAGTAGGGTTATACAAGTTCCCCAGAATTTACTGCATGGCAAGAACAAAGCAGTATTATTCAGGCAACACTTGTCCTAACCCTTTAAAAAAGTCTGTATTTAAGTATTAGTCTGGTAGAAGATGGAGCAAGAAACTGTATTTGGGCAATGGACAGCTCTACCCCTGTTCTGCAGGCATATCCATGAGACAAGGTTCTTGGGCATGTAATTATATGCTTAATTTACATGCAGAGAAAGTAAGTTTCAGCATGTTCCATCTGTACACAGATTAAAATCCTATTCACTGTTACATGAAAATAAGTCCCAATGAATGTAGGACTTGCTCCTGAATAGACATGCACTAGATCAGTGGTTCTTAACGTGGGCGATAATGCCCCCCAGGGGGCGA